ATATATATATATATATATATATATATATATATATATATATATTATACAGAGAGCGAAGAGAAGAGAATCATACAAGTCTTGTGTTGAACCCAGGAGCCAAAAACTTAAAAAACTTGGAGCATTTCACAGCCATGAATCCTGATGAGATGAGTTAACAAGAAAAAGAAATGTAAAGACAGAGATGAAGGACTGATAATTTCTGTGGCCTTACAAATCAAAATCTAGGGTTTGACCTTACCAGCTGAATACAAGGTATAAACATAGCCTCAAAGGGCCAATCTCTGCTCTCCAACGTAGCATTGGCTTACAGAGAAGTGACGCAAGCACCATTGATTGCGTTGGCCGGAGCTTGTACTTTGAGTACAGAGCGCAGGACATAAGGGTCGGAAAAGCCTGAAGCTTCTGGCTCTGTGCTACTAACGCCTAAATGGCGTATTGTAAGAAGCCAGCAAAATGGGCCTGCTAATTTAATTCACTGATTACCAAATGAAGAAAGAGGCCCATTACTCCCATTAACTCTCAAAGACAAAACCTTACACAAAGCTGGGCCCAATTGCACCCATTTCCGCTGTTGACTTGTACTGTTTCAGGTGTATTTATAAGGGTTTTAATTTTGAACAGGTGACTGGTTCAAAATATATGGTGTATAGGGTCCTGCCTTGGAGATTTGGTAATAAGTTTCTGCTTTCTTGGCATTGATTGTATTTTTGAATTTTTGAGTGCGTTTGGTGTGATGTGAAAATCACATGCACTGGAAAACACTGTACGAAACAAAATCCATGCGAAAACGACCTTGCTACTCATGAATTATTTGAATGTTTTTAGCTTATGGGTTATGACCAATGTCTCTTAACCAAGAAGAGGGGGATGAGATTTAGGGATTTCAAGAGAATAAGGAAGAGGGAATGTAAGAGAGAATATATCCTAGTAATTATGTATTTCAGATTATGATATCATTGAATGGTAAACACACACTTTAATACAATGCTTTTCTCCTAATATCACTCTAACAGACTTAACAAATACAGCTACTCTCACTAACAGATTTAACAGAGAGCACGTGAGCTGCACATGATGAACTAACAGACTCATGGTTAACATTTTCCCTACCTAGCTGAGCTCCTCAGTCTCAGATGAAGACAGTGTTGTAAGAAAATGGGACTGTGTAACCCCTTTGTAAATACATCTGCTATCTGTTCTTCAGTAGGTATATACTGCACAATAAGATCCTTTCTTTGTACCTTCTCTCTCACAAAGTGAAAGTCAATATCCAAATGCTTAATACGAGAATGGTATACTGGGTTTGAACTTAAAGCCAGAGCTGATAAGTTGTCACAGTACATAATAGGAGCATCAGGCAGAAACATCTTCAAATCCAAGAGAACTTGTCAAATCCATGCCAAGTCAGCAGCTGTGTTTGCTAGGGCCCTGTATTCTGCCTCTGTTGAACTCCTAGATACAGAACCTTGCTTCTTGGATTGCCAGGAGATGGGATTACTACCCAAGAATACTACACATCCGGTTGTAGACCTTCTAGTGTTGATATCCCCTGCCCAGTCTGCATCACTGCATGCATTAAGCTGCCAAGGACCTTTTGTAAAGCTGATTCCATACTCCAATGTACCTTGTACATATCTGAGAATGCACTTCACCAAAAAATAGTGAACCTCAGTAGGATTATTCATATATTGACACACATGATTCACAGCATAGGCTAGATCAGGTCTTGTAAATGTTAGATACTGTAGAGCACCTACTAAATTGCGAAACATAGTAGGATCTGCCAAGGGCTCACCATCCAGTCTGTAACATTTGAGTGTGTGGCTTACAAGGTGTTGTACAGGCCCTACATGAACTCATGCCGGCTTTATGTAGTAGATCTTTGGCATACTTATGCGAAACATAGTAGGATCTGCCAAGGGCTCACCATCAGTCTGTAACACTTGAGTGTGTGGCTTACAAGGTGTTGCACAGGCCCTACATGAACTCATGCCGACTTTATGTAGTAGATCTTTGGCATACTTAGTTTGACTCACGAATATGTCACCAGAGGAACTATAGGAAATCTGCAGACCCAAGAAAAAGGTGAGTTGCCCCATATCTTTCATTTCAAACACCTCACTTAAGTCTGTAACCACTTTTTGAATCAACTGATCACTAGAACCTATTATAATGATGTCATCAACATACAGTAGTAAAATGATAATGTCATTCCCAGTATGCTGCACAAACAGACTTGGATCAGAATGTGAAGATTTAAAACCAAGAGCAGGTAAGTAACCTGTGAATTTGGCATTCCAAGCCCTTGGAGCCTGTTTAAGACCGTACAAAGATTTTTTCAGTTTGCAAACAAACTTTGGATGAGAAACATCTTCAAATCTAGGAGGTTGTTTCATAAAAACCTCTTCTTCAAGATCGCCATGTAGAAAGGCGTTCTTGACATCAAGTTGTCGTAGTTTCCACTGGTTCATAGCAGCTATGCTTAACACTAACCTTACAGTTGTATGTCTAACAACTGGACTAAAGGTTTCCCCAAAATCAAAACCAGGCTCTTGGCTGAACCCCTGAGCAACAAGTCTGGCCTTATACCTCCCTACTGTACCATATGGATTTCTCTTTATTTTGTAGACCCACTTACTTCCAATAATATTTTTATCACCTGGATTAGGAACTAAGAGCCATGTGCCTTGCATATGAAGAGAATCAATCTCCTCTTTCATTGCTTGTCTCCACTCAGAAGAAAAAGAAGCCACCTTAAAACTAGAAGGCTCATCTAATTCAGGAATAGCATGAAGACAAGTAAAATAACCTTGATAATCAGGAAACTGTTTGGTCTGAACTATACCATCTTTAGCCCGAGTAATCATTGGATGATTATTGATAGGCACTAACGAAACTGATGAGTCCTGAGTACTGGCAGACGAGGAAGAAGCATCTAAGACCTCAAAAGGAAACATAACCTGTAACTGTTGGTCATTCAACATAGGTACAGAAGTTGCAGAAGTTGCTGGAGTGTCATTCAATGAAGCTTGATGTTGGATGTGAGATAAAGACCCATGAGTAGATGAGATGGCCTGTGAGACTGAGAAGTGGATACTTGTGTATCAGAGGCGAGAGATGATGTAGGAACTTGAATAGGCGTTGAAGGCAAAGAAACAATGATAGGAGCCACTGATGCAGGAGAAAGAGACTGAGAAGATTGCACACATATACCAGGGTTGATTTGCTTAAAAGGGAATACAACTTCATCATGAAGAACATGCCGTGAGATCACGCATTTGGCAGTAATTCTATTGTAGCATATAACCCCTTTGTATCCAGGTGCATATCCTAAGAACACACATTGAGTGGTTCGAGGTTGTAATTTATGCACATTATAATGTCTCAAATACGGATATACCGCAGTACCAAATATTCGCAAAGAAGCAAGATCAGGATGATGGCCAAATAAACGAAAATAAGGAGACTGATTATGTAATACATAACTAGGCATTCGATTTATAAGATACACAGCATGAGCAGTGGAATGAAGCCAAAATTGACCTGGTAAGGTGCTGCAGTTAACAATGTAATGGTTGTTTCAATAATATGCCTATTCTTCCGCTCTGCTAGTCCATTCTACTGCGGAGTATATGGGCAAGACAAACGACGCACAATTCCTTTGGAAGCCAAGAAATCTGTAAAACCCTTGCTAATAAACTCACCACCTCCATCACTCTGAAAACACTTAATGGCAGCACTAAATTGATTTTGTATCAAAGCATGAAACTGTAGGAACTTCGAGAAAACTTCTGATTTATTAAAAAGTGGATAAACCCACAAATATCCAGTACATTCATCAAGGAAGGAAACAAAATATCTGTAACCCTCAACAGATTTGTAATGGGAAGGTCCCCATACATCACTATGAATTGTATGAAAAGGAATTTCAGACCTATTATGTCTAACGGGAAATGGAAGCCGATGCATCTTCCCTTGAAGACAAGCTGAACATAAGGGATTTGAATTGGAGGAATCACTCCCACACTGCAAACCAAAAGCTTTAAGCATTGATTGCACCACTTCATTTGTTGGATGGCCAAGTTTGTGATGCCAAATGGAAGTGATATAACCATTATTTCATACATTTTATTATCTTTCTCATAGATTCTTGCTATGTTCTTGAGTGAGTTTAGTCCATTTTTACTTAGTTTTGTGTTTTACTAGGTTTGAAGAGTAAAGATGGTAAAGCGAGCAAAAGGAGCAATTTTGGGATTGAAATATGATGTGCAATCCTGGGAGCAGAATGTGCTGTGCAGAACAGTAAACTTGACAGAATATACTGTACTTCCTCAGAGTGAACCAGATGTTGAGCCTTATATCTTTGGAAAGATACGGATGTTAGCTTTCTGTAGAATTTTACGGTTCGCGATTCGGACGTGTGTGGAGAGAGTTGTGGCCGTTTTAGTACAGACAGTTCGGGCAGAATGTGTTCTGCGGGTTTTGCAAAATAATCCTTTTGAAGTTCAATCCTTGGAGTTTAATTTGTGTCAATCACATTTGGGAAGTGTCTACAAAGATGTGGAGTTATTTTCTAAGGTCTGATCCTATATTTAGTAGGATTTTGGATGCCAACTCATCAAAGACAATTGAAGCCAAACTAGGAAAGCATAGTTACCAAGTCAAAAGAGGATTTGTTCCTTATTTAAAGAAGACCAGAAATTAGGTCTCTTTTTCTAGAACGTAATGAATCCAACTTGTTAAATGTATGCCTTAACCAGGATAGATTGCAGGATTGGGTATATGATCTTTGTCTGAACTAGAAAAGAATCTTACACTTAAGGAAAACTATGGTCTGAGTGCCTGAAAAGGACTTAGATACGGGAATTATCATCTAAAGAATCGAAAGAATCTGTTGAATGCATTGAAATCTAACTTGGATTGCTTGTGGTTGATTCCGAAACCCTAGACCTTCATCATTGTTTGTTAACCTTAAAATTCAACCTTTTTATTCTCAATTGTTTTTATTAATTTCTTTGTTTTCATAAACTTTCACAACAACAATCTCTACAAATTCACTTGCGTATCAGTTAGATTTAATTTAGGTATTTGAATATTAGATTAATTTGGAATCCTCGTGGGAACGATACTTGGACTTGTCAAACGCTATACTACATCAATCTTGTGCACTTGCAAGGACAGACCAGGAAGTCCTAACATGTTGACCAATCAAAGCCACTTTCTTGGACAGACAATGAGAGGGTACATCACAGGGAATAGGATACAATCCGTTGTTACTCCGACCTTTTAGAAGGATTGTCTTGGTGACTCGATCCTGTATCACAAAACCAGAAGCATCAAAGCTGATAACACAATTATTATCTTTGCACAGCTAATGCACAAACAAGAGGTTAGCAGATAACTGTGG